AACGGCAAGACAACGTGTCCGTAGTTTAATGGTTAGGGCCTCGGTTGGTGCACAACCCGGGAGGTACTTAGTTGCACTTGATCCGATTAGCTCCTGTTATTGGATGACTGGGCTTCACGGATGTCACGGACAGCGGCGGCTCATTGACGGTGATTGGAAGCGGGAATCGGGAGTTTAAGCACACTTGGGTTGGTTTACTCGCCCAGCCTACTGCAACTTATGGAATCCCCAATGCTGATACATTAAGCTGACTGCCCAGGCAGGATTCGCTAAGCAATCTACCTAGGATCCACTAGATGACCACCAGGTAGACGTAATTAGTACGGCGGTTTTGGTTAGACTTTGAGACGGTACGAGCCAATCAACGACACCAGTTTGAAGGTGGCTGCGCAGGGCTCTGTATGCCGGCGGCCGATCAATTCAGTTCCCAGCAGGGGCCTAGACTATAAACAATTCTCGCATTGTCTTGCGCCTTGCGTAGGTGATGATCTTGCCGGCTTTGAAACTGATTTTATAACTCCTTTCCTAGGTGTGGGCGGTCAATTGCGATAATTTTTCACCCCGTCACACACAGACAGTTTACGTTCATTTATGCACCATCCGAGTGCATGCGTTCGGTTCGACTGGTGTAGTTACAGGAACAGTTGAAGCCTGGGCCCCGGATTGCAGTCGAGCAAATCGATGTGTTGATCTGGAGCCAGCATACAGAGCCCTGCGCAGTCATCTCCAGACTCGCGCCTTTGGCCGCTAATTGGCTTATAACACTCATAAATGTAGACTTTTTATAATTTTGCTACTTCCTCTGCCGATGGACTCCGGCGTAAGTTCGAAAGCCCAAAAGAATAAAGCGATTGTTCCGACTCTCGAACAGTTTTGTTTTCACACAAACACCCGAAGGTCGAACCTTCGCATTCACACAGTGAAGCGTAGACAGTAACTGTTGGGAATGCCTCAATCCCCAGGATGACTAATCTTACAGAAATGCCCCTGGGTGAAACTCCACGCCCACGCGCGCGCCTTGGCTATCGATGTTCGTCATAGCGGATTGGTCCCCTGTCTTTGACGCCTGCTCATGGCGCGGACTGAATAAGTACCCCGCAGCCTTTTTGTCTGAGTGACTTGCTTGCCTGGCTTGTGTTAATACACTTATCCTCCTGGCCGATTGATTTCTCTCGTACTGGGCCTTGGGGATAACCACCGGGCTAGCTCAGAGTTCGTGCCAATTACAAGTACCCGGCGTGGGTCATAACAGTAAAAGAGTGTGAAAATATGTCCGGCAGCTCACCTTATTGGAAAAGTCCTTACAGGCGTGCAGGTTGGGTGCCTTGTCCGGCGTGTCTTCGCCGCCAACCACCTCGAGAAAGTTGATGCGCCGATAGAGGTCCCACTCGTGCAGGGTGACCTGTTCAGCCAGCTCAGTGGGATGA